AGAAAAGTATGTTTAAGTAATGTCTATACAGGGTGTCCCAGATCATTTGGGACAATACTCGTGTGCAGATAGAGCGGACCAAACTGAGTCGAAAAGTCCTCTATCATTTTTTTTTATAACGCTTAATAAAGGAGTTATTATTGAGTTAAGTCTGGCCAATCAGCGCCGATCTTTAGCCGGGCGCACGTCGGCGAGCTGCGCGCCTGGTAGTATGCAGCAGCACACACTTCACGGCACGCGGCTCACCGACGTGCGCCCGGCTAAAGGTTGGCGCTGATTGACCAGACTTAACTCAATAATAACTCCTTTATTAAGCCCCAGACAGCACAAAACGTCCTCAGGATCATCCTGAATATGTCCAGGATGGTTCAGGATATTTGTAGGATGTTTTAAGATATTATTATAAATATATTTTATGAAAATTTAAAGGGGGAAACCAGTGTAACAACTGAAAAAAGACTACTTTTAAAGATTTTTTTTCTAGTAAATAATTGTTGTTTTTTTTCATATCGCGTTATTAACATCACAAAGTACATAATTTGAACTACCTATTGTGACATTTTTGGTAAAAAATATTAATATTTATAACTACAATAGCCAATAGTGTGGGCCGCCCAAAAAAAAACGGGCGCGCGCGTAGCGAGCCAACGAAAACTCCAAAACAAAAAAAAACACGGATTTTCTTAAAATATAAGACAATAGCTTCAGTTGCACGTTTGGATTTAAAAAAAATGATTTGTTACAAAATGGCGGACTTTTGAAGAAAAAAATTCCGAAAAAAACAATTATTTACCAGAAAAAGAATCCTTAAAAATAGCCTTTTTTTAGCCGTTACACTGGTTTCCCCCCTTAATATGCATACATGATTAGTTTCAGTTATGTAAGCTATTTAATATAATTTAGAAATCTTAAGTATTATAATAAGAATTAATGTCCTATAAATGTCCACTGGATAACCCCTGGATGTCTGTAGGATATCTGCCCTGTCTATTACATTGGATGTCCTTTATATTTCCAGAGGACATATACATGTGCAATTAATTGTTAACATTAATTTCGTTTAATATTAATAATTGAATTTGATGCGCACATTTTCATATATCCAAAATTATTATTTATTTAATTGTTACGTCCAGACTCAAATAAAGGAAGAGTCAGCGGGAGGGCGTAACCTACTTACCTCTAGACAAACGCTAGACGATGCGTCTTTTCTGGTAAATGAACTGAATCCTTATTACCCGGGACGGGACCTTGTGCGATTTCGGTTAACAGGAAGGAGGTCGGGTTAATAAATTGCTCGAATTTTAAAATTTAACTTTACATTTATTCAGAAATTAAAACGAATAATTTTAACATATAGAATTTAATAATGAATCATCTAATTCAATTTAATAAACTGTTATTATAAAATAAACTTACTTAAGATCTAATATAGTTGTGTGAATGTGTGTGTGGCGGCCTACAGCATCCACAAAATTAAGGCAGCGCGATATACGCGAAAGATTATCGTTTCTCGCAAGCGCTGGCCCGTCCGCGCGTAGTGCAGGAGACGCCGCTAGTCGGCGCAAGGCGCTCGGGACAACAGGAGTATGGAAAGCAGTCCGGCGGGCATATAGCGCGTCCGCGCGTAGTTGCGAGGAGCACCGCTAGGCGGCGCAAGGCGCCCAGACCAACCTGCGAGTAGAAAGCCGTCCGGCCGAAATATAGGTCAGACCCCCTGCAGAGACAAACAGGGAGAAAGTCATTGGCGCCAGACGCCTACTTTCAAGCGCAAGTCGCTAAGACATCGGAGCAAAGTAGAAGAAAGCGCTAGACGCTAACTCTCGAGTAACGCAGCAAATTCTTGGCGCCAGTCGCCCACCTTCCAGCGCAAGTCGCCTTAACGTTGGTTTACAATACGGCGCTAGTCGCCGCACCACCATCCACGACGCCACGAGTGAAGGACACCGTTCCGCTACCCGCGGTAGCCGAGATCGCCATCCGGCGAAGGACTCGTCCGACGCCACTTCACAGGGTGGTAAAGAAGAGGAAGGTGGAGGAGAGCCCGCTTAACGCAAGCAGTTCCCTGCCATTAAACGACCGATCGCCAACCGCCTCCGGCGCCCGGCCGCCATCGGCGTTAAGCGCCCGATCGACATCCGCCTCCGGAGCTCGTACGACGTCACCAGGCGCCCGGTCGCCGTCTTCCACCGGGACCAGCTCCCCGACGATTGCCGGCACCTGCTCCCCAATCACCGTCAGTGACGGATCACTGTCGCCCATTGGGGCTGATTCACCGGTGGTCTCCGGCCGCTGGCCACCCTTCAATGGCCGCTCCAAGGAAACCGTACACTCCGGCACACAGTCACCCAGCGACTCTCACACAAAGAGGAAATACCGCAGCAAGGACCGGTTACAGTCTCTATTCGGCGCTAGCCCGCCAAAGCTGATTGCCGGGCATACCCGCACGGAAACCCGGCAGGACCGGCCTACTAAATTTAGACGAGCGAACATTTAAATTTCTTAATTTAGTTTCTTAAAATCAATAATAAAATTAGGATCCGCGGACGCCCGAGCCAATAGTTTCCGGATCTTTTTATTTTCCCGGTTGCGGATGTGTTTCGCCCAGCACTTAGAGCGCTTTGCCGGGGTTGTTTCCACTAGGAAACACACGCA